AGGGAGATATTTAAATACATGATTGAAAGATAGACTGACAGAAGGTACATGAAAACTTTTAGTGCAAAGATGCACCAGGAAATGCTGGCAATCCTATACCTCTGAACAAAGAGCCAGAGAAGCAACAGGACGAAGAGCTTCTTTGTCTGCCCTATGCACCTTTGCTCAGTTAAACATTTGTGTCATTGTAAGTAGTGGTTTATTTGAGAGACAATTTGTTGGAACAAAACATCTAATAATTCCAAAGACCAGACTTGGACATTGTAGGAAAGGTTTGAGAGAAATTTTCCAGCAATATCAACCTTTATCCAAAATAGAGTATGTGAGAAATGTCCTAATTTTCAATTTTCCATTAATTAGTTTTATTAGTTTTCTTTCTACACCCTGGGGGTTTTACAGCCAGTACACGTTCTGCTGCTCCGTGATTCATGGGTCCAGGAGGTGCCCAGTGCCTGTACTACACACTCCACAGATGCACAGGCTGTTGTATGCTTCACCTCAGGGACAGGAACATGGGACACAGAGTCCTGGAAAGTTTGCACTTTGCTGTAGGGAAGGGGCACCTCAGGGGACCCCAAGCTGCATACACTGGCTGATGTTGAGGGAATTCACAGGGGTCATATTGTACAGGAGAGACAGGTGACCTGTTCTATGTCACCTGGGGAACAGTGCGAGTCACCCTGTCCAGGTGACATCTGGATGTGGTCCCCTTGCTGCACTGCCTCACAAGTGGCATAGCACCACTGAACAGGAGCACCAAGGGCCCAGGGCAGAGGACACAGGAGAAGGCTGGCTCCACAGAAGGGAAGTTCAGCTGAAGTCTTGCAGCAAGCCTTGGTGGGCTGCCATCACAGAGTCCAACAAGGGCTCAGCTCACACAGCGCAAATCTGCATCTCACACTCTGGTTCCAGAATCCAACATCGGGGAGTCCTGCAGCTGATCCTGTGGAGGCCCCCCTGGGCTGGTGGTCACTGTTGTTTCTGTGTCCCCATGGGTCTTCCCTCTGGGCCCCTCAGCATTCCTGTCTCTTCTTAAGGAGCCCAGTCCTGGAGGACCAGGAGTGGCTCTAAGGACCTTATTTTACCTTAACTACCTCTGTCATGGTTTATGTCTGTGTACCCCAGGCCTCATGAGTTTGAATTGTGCATTTGTTATTCATTCATTGTCTAGTGCTTGGATTGCTGGTGTCAGTTTTCCACCCACAAAGGGGTGGAGCCAGGATGTGATGTAATGGCAGGAAGAAGGTGCTTCTTGTTCTTTGCTGGTTCGAATTTGCTGTTTTGCAGCCACCATGAAAGGCGGCCCAGCCATGCCCGCCTGCCTGGGAGCCAACTGAGTGTGGACTAAAACCTCCAAAAACTGTAAGAAATAAACCTTTCCTTTCCCAACTTTGGGCTTCAGGTATTTTGTCTCAGCAATCAAAAAAAGTAACTAAGACAACCTCTAAAGACCTCATCTCAGCTATGGCCACACTTGGAGGTCCAAGGGAGCAGGACACTGTCAGGGACACAGTGGGAGAGGGCCTGGGACCTCACAGTACCACTGTCTCCTGGCCTTTGACAGATGTGCCTGTGTTTGCACCACTGACTCTGCCTGGGCTGCCCAGTTTCCTCCCAGCATGGGGAGTAGCTCAGAGCTGAGGGGACCCTGAACCCCCAAGGAGAGTCACTCTGCTCATTTCCTGCCTGACTGGGAAAAGATCAAAGGCGCAACTGGAAGCCCTGACTGTTACATTCCAGAAGAGCTCCAGTCACCTTGAGTCCCTGAGCAAGGCCAGGCTATCTCTGGAGCTCTGGGCCAGGGGCAGTTATCTGGCTTGAGCATCATGAGCCCAAGGTCCAATTCAAAAAGGCTGAAGCCACCAACACAGAATCATGCCAGGAGCAGGCCCTGGAGAACCACAGACAAGGTTCACCGCATCCCAACTCTAAAATTCTCAGGACAGGGCATTTCCTGCCGAAGGTAGGACTCTGTCTCCAGAAAGGTCACTATTCCACCTGGTTAGTTTTTCACAAATTGGCTTCTTCCTGTTTGTTTCCCAGTGCAAACTTCCCTAAAATTATACACCTATGCCTTTCTGAAAGGTGCTTTCATTTGCCTTCCACTCTGTAAGGAAGGAGAAAGCCCATGATATGGCCAGCCTCGAAGCTCCCCACGTCTACGTGCAGCCTGGGAATTCACTGTCCTCCGTGCCAGCAGGTCCCCTGACCTCTGTGATCACAGGGCATTGGGTTTACCTCCCAGCAATGAAACCATATAACCCGGTGTGTGAGTCAGCAGTGAGGTCAGCTTCCCCGAAACCACTTGCATTATGCCAAGAAACCACAATCCCACAGGTGACCATGGGGAAGTCAATATACCTGACAGGTGCTGGCCCTGGAAAGGGGCCCAAGGTAAGGTGGCTGTGACCTTCCTTTTCCCTGAGGAGAACACAGGTCAAAGATGATATTCCACAACATTACCCAGAGCACCTGATCCCACAACTATTACCAAAACTTAGTGCAGAAAGTCTAAAAAAAAAACAGCACCCTTCCGCTTTATTTCAAGGCGAAGTGGATTGCATGGAGCAGTTATGTGACTAGAGAAGAATTTCTGAGCTGGTCTCACCATTGGAAAACCAGAGTCTTATGAAGGGTCCTCCAGTAGCAGCCAGTGCAGGCTCTCAACATGGGAATCAGCTTGGTTTTTAGCAATGGATCTAAATCTGCCAAAGGGCCCTTCTTGATTTGGGATGAAACCCAGAAGCTCTCTTGTCCCAAAACCTGCCTGCTTGATCGCTGCCTGGCCTCCTGATCTCTCTACCAGCAACTCCTCAGGACCACATAGGCTCCAGGCTCCTCAGTTCTAGGAGCAGGAAAAGCCCAGATCTCAGAATCTGCTTTCTCTGCCAGGCATGCCTTTGCCAAGGTCTTGGCCAGTTTGGCTCCTCCAAGGCTGAATTCCACCTGCCTCACAAGAATGCTCATAACTTATTGACCATCAGCCACTGATCCCAACCATTCACTGCTTGCTTTCTTCACAGCATAGGACCTGCTGAAACCCTATGCATTGCTACTCTTCTTCTTGTACCGGACTGGAAGCCCCTCTCCACAGCACCAACCACTAAACTGTGCCTCACACACAGAAGGCACTTAGTCACTTTTGGATGCATGCAGGGATGGGTTGATGGGTGGATAGATGAATGGGTGGATGGATGGGTGGATTGATGGATGGATTGGTGAGTGGATGGACAGATGGGAGGATGGGTAGATGGGTGGATGGGTGGATAGATGGGGGATGGATGGGGGGATGGCTGTGTAGGTACATGGCAAGAAGATGGTTGAGATAATGGATGAATGGAAAGACAGGTGGATGGATGCATGGATGAATGACTAACTCTATAGGTAAGCAAATGCAGACCACCTTTCTAACATATGATGCTCAAACCAAAAAATAAAACCCTTAATGTTTACCTCATTCTGAATTATTTAATGGATGACTCCTCTGTTTCTCTCCACACTGCCCACAACTGCACTTACCATTTCCACATGCTATGGTCCACAGGTGAGTGAAAGTGGCCTCATTGGCCATTTCCCCTCAGAGTACACCAACCCTCCCAATGGCCAGTCAAGTTGGAAGTCCTATGCCTCTGGACACGGATGGCAGAACCCCCCCAATTACTTCATGGTTCACCTAGCACCTTCCAGATAACCACCACTGACACATGGGCCTGAAGGGTTAGTGACCATGAACAGTGGTACTACATATCCAGAAATTGCCAATAAAGAGAAAACACACTATTTCACCACCTGGCCCTTTTATACAAGAGCAAGCAAAACTGGAATCATTTGAGATCAAACATGTGGTATTCATAATTTTCAGTCTGCCTGTTTAGGGCAAGTGTCTCAGCTTTAAAACTGTTTAATATTCTCATTTAATGTAATTGGCTGCAGAGATTATTTACCATACAAAATCGTGAAGTATAGTTTATGTATTTAGACAAGTGAGTGTTTGCTCATTTCCTTCAAAAATCATTGTTTCACAATCTGCCGACTCCAGGAGGCGGAGCAAACGAGGTGTTGTGCATTTGGGATGGTGTTGAGCTGCAAGACCCCGTGCCATGCAACCTCCCTTCCCGCTGTGCAGAAGCAGGCAGTAGCCCAGTGGCTCTTGGTCCACCTCAGCTCTGGGTCCAGCTCTGGGGCTGGAATCGGATCCAGGTGTCTGGCTCCAGGTAGATTGTGAACACTCTCTGGGCCTTGGCTTTCTTCCTGAGGACTGGGAAGGGTCCTGACTATCAGGCAGGACTCACGCAAGCTCCAGTTGTAGAACCCCAAGGACACACTCAGGAATGGAGCCCCTGTGCACTTCAGTGAGCTCTGCAGGTTTGCTGCTGGGCAACATCCTGTGGGGAACCACAACTGCCTCAAATAAAACCAGCACTTAAGACTGGACAAGAGTAATTTTAAAAATTGTAGTGAAGTTCACACTGCAAGGAGCATAAAAACCCACATACAAAATAACCTTAGTGTGAAGGCAGCTTTAGCCTTAGCAAATGAAAGTCGCAGATTTTCACAAATTGCGAGAGAACCACACACCCCTCCAGAAGGAGGCACTGTAACAGTGGAATCACATCAGGTCCTCAGACAACTGAATCAAGACACCAAATAAAATGTCAACTTTGCCATATCATCAGACAAAAATGGAGCCTTAACCAACCTAGAGAGTGCTCTAAGACATTTTTAACCTTTGGCATTTCTCTTCTACTCAAATGGAAAACTGTTAGGACAGGGTGTGAGGCTTCCCCACCCCTGGCCTTGATTGATCTGCACTGCAGGTACAAAGGTGGCAGGAATGTGCCTTGTCATTTCCAACTCAGAAGTCCTTAGGCAGCCACAGGACAGACTGTTTGGAGCCAGAGTGTGCTGTGCCCCAAAATACCAGTGTTGGGGTGCAATGCATTAACCACTCCTCCTTTCCCTCCCTTGTGGACTCCCACGTGGTTGATGGCCTGATCCCTGCTGCCTTCATAGCCTTGCGAGGGAGGGACAGGATTAAAAGGAGACAGGTCCAGCAGGCCTTGTCCACACTGGCACACAAAAAGCCTTCAAGTGTCCGCTGCCTCCGCAAGGAAGGATCCACATACAGCCAGGCCAGCACAGCCAGCAGCAGAGAGCTAGGGCAGGCCCAGGACCCTGCTGCAGTCTGGTGAGTGCCAGTTGGGTACCCCGGGCCAAGCCATAGACCAAAATACATGGGTTTTAGGAGTGGCAAAGGGGTGGCGGCTTTTGACAAAGAAGAGCAAAATATGTTTTTCAAAGATATAAAGGAGAGAATTTGCTTCTCTGACTGTGTTTCCCAATATTCTAAAGGCTGTGCTGTGGGCTTTACTGTGATATCAGCTACTGGACCTCAGCAGTACCAAAACTGCAAAACAGGGGCACCCATGGTGACGGAGAGGGATGGGACACAGGAACCACAGCCACCACGGGGTTGGTGTACCTGACTTGACTTAGGGCCCTCAGCAGGCATCCAGAGACAGTGGAAGTATGTGGGGACCCAGTGCAGTGCTGCATTAGGCAATGAGAGGCTTCCCTGGTCCATCGAGGAGGTGTCCTCCCCAGGTGGCCTGAACCTCACAACTGCAGGGAGCCAGACATATTTGTTCCTGGGCCAAGACACAGAGTTGGCCATGGAGCTGGGAGGTCCAGAAGACCAGAGACCAAGGGCTGCTGTGGACTGACGCCCTCTGCTACTCAGGGCCATAGCCAGCTCAGCCCAATTCCTTCTTCCTGCAGAGAGATTCCACTGGCTAGGTCCAAGAAGGAGGGCTGGAAGGATGCAGGCTGCATCCCTGGCAGCTGCTGCAGGTTCAGAGCCACTTAGCACTAATGGAAAGGTAGGGCACACATTACACCATGCCCAGAACAGCACAGGCGGCCCAGGGTCAGGGCGGGAACCAGCTGTGCCCGCCTCCCTGGAAATTTCTCACCTCTCACTGCTCTTCTATGTCACCAAAGCACTCTCTCAACTTTCTGTGTTCAGATGCACTTCTAATGGAGGATTTTTTTGTTAATGTTTTATGACCCTGCGTAAGAATTTTAAAAAGCTTAAGACATGTATCCAGTCAAACCGTTTCTGGCAGGGCATAGAATAAAAGAGAATTTTTACTTAAGCCAAAAACAATGGGTTAAGAAATGTCCAGTCTGATCGGATTACTTTAAACTGTCACCAGACCAACACTAAGAAGTTCCTCACACTCCACTGGCACTCCTCTAAACACAGAGCCAGGGGGACAGAGGAAAGAAGGCCAGCAGCCTTGGCACAGGCAGTTGAACCCTACATGCTCAAAAGGCACCAGGGAAGGCAGGACACAGTGGGGCCCTGCAGGGAAGGAAGGTGGACTGAGCTGCTGACTACAAGTAAGTCCTCTTCTGCTCTGGCTCTGTGGTCATTTGATGACACAGAGTGTACCTGGAGTTGGACCACAGTGACCCTCAGGACAACTTGTATCCTCCCGGCAGGGGTGCCACGGTGCTGGGCCAGGATCTTCAGCACCCCAGGGTCTCTGCAGCTGTCTCAACCCAGAACACAGTCCACCTTCTCACCTAGCCTTCGGTTGCCCCTCTCTAGTCTCTACTGAGCTGGAAATGTCCCTGAACCAGGGCCACCCTGTTGCCTTCTGCTGCCTACACTTGGCACGGCTTGCACGGGCCACCTGGCTCGTGTTCTCAGGACTCACAGCATCCTCTGACTGGGTTCTCTGGAAAAGTCCAGACACGCCAGACACGTGGATCCTCTGATGCGCCAACCCGTAACTGGGTTCTCAGGAATAGTCCAGCATCACGGGAGTGTGGTGGTTGCAGCACAGAGCAGGCAACCCTGCTCCCCCAGAGCCAACTCAGAACCCGGGCATTGTGGGCTCCCCCACAGCACCTGGTGACATGAGCTGATACCCCTGGGGCTATGGCAGACACCCTGAACCTCCTGCTGCCTTTCAATGGGTTCTAGAGTTTCTCTGAAATGTTTTACTTTTATTATCCCTTGAAATTTAAGACAAAAAAAGATAAAAAACATTTTAAAAACCGGAGAGGAAAGAAAGTTTTGTTATAAAAAGTCTAAGTTCTCAGTCCCTGAAGCCACTGCAGCCTCTCCAAGGTCCCTGTGAGGAATACTGGGGACCCAGCTGTCACTCAGCAGGAGACTTGACAGACACAGATTCAGTGCCAATCCTCAGGGACAGGTGTTTGGCACCTATGTCCTTAAACAAGGCCAGCGGAGGATTTAAACCCCAGCCCCACTTCTCCCATGGATCAGCATTAGAACCAAAAGGGTTCCTGTATGTCTCTGAAGCCTCTGACAGAGTCATGCCCTGAGGGAGTGAGTTTTGCTCTTCCAAAGGACCCTGCTTTCCCTCTCTCTAAGAATCCACTAGAACCACCACGATGTCCTTGGAGAAAATGGAAGACCTCCATCTGGAGGGAAAATACCTGGAGCTGGGAACGAAGGAGGTGAATGGCATCCTCATGACCAAGCTGATCAGTGACAACTGGGACCAAATCTGGAGCTTCCAGGCCAAGCCTGACGACCTCCTAATCGCAAGCTACCCGAAGGCAGGTGGGTGTGAGGCCCGGGACGAGGGTGCCTTGCTGTGGCAGCAGTGATGCCAGACACAACTGCTCACATAGGAAATGCAGATTTCACTATGGCTGGGAGAGAACAACAGCCAGCCTGGCCCTGGGCTCCCTGCCTGCACCCAGAAGCCCTGCTCCTGAGTCCCTGGAGGAAACCACCAGGCGGGGATTCTGGGCCTCAGAGGGCTGTCAAGGGACAAGGTGTGTGGGTGCAGGGGACCCTGCTGCCTCTGATGACCCTGTGCTGTGAGGAGTCCAGCACTCACACTGAGCACAGAGGCCTAGGTCAAAGAGGGGGCCAGCTTCAGCAGAGTCTGAAAAGTTTATAGGACAGGAAGGTGCAGGTGGAGGAATGGGGGCCCAGCTTGGGAACAGACAGTGAGGGAGAGCTTCAGCTGGAGACCATGGGTGACATTCAATCTTGTACTGATCAGGCCCACAACCTCTCAAACCAGTGGACGGGGAAGGCTTAAATAAGAGAGACAACGTTAAAGCTCAAGGAGATCAAAGCCTGTTAGCAGAATTAGAGATTCTCTGGGGCCTGAGACAAAGAACTTCTCCGGGAACCCATATTTATTTGGTTTTCACACAAAGTATGTGGATAGAGTGGAAAGTGCCCTTGCATCCCAGGCCTGGGCTCTCCCTGCCTGCTCTGCACAGCACTGGTCCCTGGGACTGACTTAAAGCTCTCTGCTGCCTCCCTGGCCTTGGACCTGACAGACTTCTCCCCATCACCACACAGACCAGGGCTCCTTGGAGCCCTCCCCTCGTCCACTGCTGGGTCCTCCTGCTAGCTGGGGATTTAGCTCAGTGGCATAAGCACCTGCCTTGTAAGCAGGCGATCATGAGTTCAATCTCCGGTACCAATAAAAATGAAAAAGACAAAAAAAAAAAAAAAAAAAGACCTACGTGCCAGCCCCCACCATTCCTCACCTGGCCTCATATACCGGCACCCTGCACACCTGGCACGATGCACTCGTAGCCACTCGCACGCTGGGCAGCCATTCCCGCACCTGCAGCCCATTCACACACCTGCAGCCCATTCCCATCTCCTGATCTTCTTGAGGTTCCTGGGGTTCTCTGTTCCTTGAAAACAAACTGAGCCCTGACACAGAGCAAGGCTGAGAACAGCTCTGGGTTCAAGGGTCTCTTGACTGGCAGGGAGAACTGGTCCTCCACCCTGTATTTCTCTTCTTCTCTGCCACTCTTGGTGTCTCTGGCATGCATCTGCCTGACAGTGACATGTGCTGGGAGGCTGAGAGAGCTGCACTGACACCAGCAACCCTGGCTCTCTGTAACTCTCCATGTCCTTGGTTTCAGGTGGCTTTTGATACTAAAGTCCAATGTGATGGCTGCAGTTCCAACCAGAATAGCAAGGAAGTAGAAATAGAGAAATAGTTGTTTTACTTTCCTTTAATAAAGAAAATGTCATGGAACTTAGTGGCCTGGCCCCATCTCCAGCTTCTAGAAAGCCTGAATCATGTAGCCCTTGCCACAAGCACCTACATGCCCACCTAGCATCTGAAGGCATCTTCATTTAGAAGAAAATAGAGGGGAACTGAGCAAAGGTGTTGTCCCTGCCTGTCTCCTCCTGGGAAGTTAGCTAGGTGTGTTGGCAGACTCAGGAGGCTGGGGCAGGAGGCTTTTGAGGAGTTTAAGGCAAGCCTGAACTACAAACAAAAACCCTGTCTCAGGAGAACATGCAAATAAAGGACCTTTAGAGTAACGCATGGTGAACTCACTCTGCATGTCGCTGCATCCCTCTAACCCATAGTGAGTCAAGACAAATCTGTCAGGGACAGAGCCTCAGTGATAAGCAGAGCATAGCTGTTTCCAGGCAGCACCTGTTGCTAACATAGGGACTGTGAGCACAGGAGCCTGCCTGCCCAACCTGGGTGCCACTCGGAGGATGTGACCTCATTCCCAGCCCTGTACCCGTGACCGAGCCATGAGTACGTGAGCGTGAGGAGCAAGTCTGTCCCGGCCCTTCTAGGCACAACCTGGACTCAGGAGATCGTGGACATGATCCAGCAGGACGGGGATGAGCTCAAGTGCCAACGTAACACCACCTACGAACGGCACCCATTCATTGAGTGGGAGATGCCACCGCCCCTCAAGTCAGGTGAGTGACGGAGGAAGCCTGGCCACAAGGGCTGCAGGAGGCCTATCTTGGATGGGTGGGGGGTTATGACAGAGGCTTAGGCTCAATTGAGCAGCTGAAAGAGGCACAAGAGCTGTTCCTGAAATGCAGGACATGGTGGCCCAGGACAGACACTTCTGGGCCCTGGCACATGGGAAATGCCTTAAAGCACCTCAGGGGCAAGAGCATATTCAGGGCCTCTGCTTCCCCAGACCTAAGGATAAAGCATTGCAGGGTACTTCTGGGGTGTGGTAAAGCCCTGAAGGGACCCAGCATCAGGTCTTTTGGTCACAGGGTAGGAATCCCCCACACAAGGGACAGAGTACCTCACCTTCTCTCTGCTCCTTCACCCCCAGCCCTGATCCAGTGGTTTACCTGTTTCTTCCCTGCTTCAAAGTGCACACACCCCAAGCCCAGGAATAGCACCACCAACCCTGACCACACCCCCAAACCCAGTGCAAAGCAACCTTTCTTCCATAGTTGGGTCTGCTCAAGCACTTGCTGAGTGTCGGGCACTGGCTGACAGTCCTGGCCTGGGGGCAGCAGAACCTTCTTAGCAGAGGGAGCTGACACAGCCTTTCCAGTTGCCATGCAGAGTGAAGGACACTGTCCCCGTGAGAGAGGCCAGACACACAAACACATAGACATATGCACCCTAGCTCTCTATGGAACAGGAATCCAACTGTACAGCACAGTGGAGCAGAGGTTTGCGGTCTGGGGATCAGGTGACAAGACCAAGTACAGTGAGGCAGGGCCAAGGCCTATGGTCCAGAGCACAGGACAACCAGTGCTGTAACGGGCCCTCACTGTGACCTATGATGAACTAGAGGAAAGAACTTCAGAGTCCCGACAAGGAGAGGTGGAGGGATTGATGCTTACCCCATGAGCACACACTGCACAGGGGTCCAAGGTCGCCACACTGCCACCCTGCACTGCACACAGGTCCTGGATCAGCACACTGTGCTGTTCACTGTTTTTGTTTTGTTTTGTTTTGTTTCGTTTTATTGTTGGGAGCGGGGGGGGGGGGCTGAGGATTGAACTCATGACCTCGCTGAACATCCAGCACCTATGACTCTTTTGGAAGGGCCGTGTGTAGGCCCATAGAGTTCAACCCTGGAATGACTCAAGTCCCTGTTGGGGGCTGCTGCTGTGGAGGGGCACGTCTCTAAGGACCCTTCCTCCCAGGTCTGGAGCTGGCCAAGGCAATGCCATCGCCCAGGACGTTGAAGACACACCTGCCCATACAGCTGCTGCCACCCTCTTTCTGGAAGGAAAACTGCAAGGTAGGGGGGCCCAGTCCTCCAAGGAACACGTCCCCAGAAGGCCAGAGAGGGTCCCCAAATGAGTAGCATCAGGCAAGGATGAGGAGGGAACCAGCAGTGGTGCCCAGGGCACCTGGCGGTGTGACCCATGAGCCCACATGCCCATTCCCCACTCTTTGGAACATGATCCTGGGAATACATTGGGAGGCCCAGGCAGTTTATTCAGATCATCTGCCAACCACACCACCTTCAGAATGGCTGCTGGGTGACAGAAAGCAGGTGCCATGGCGAAGATTCATCTAACTGGCTAGGGAGCCACCAAGGACTAGAGAAGCCCCGCTCAGGGTGCCTGGGTGGGTCCTAGATCTGTGATGCTGGGGCCTGCGTGGTCCCTGCCCCTTCCTCTCTGTGGTCTTCCTTACTCTGCTCTCTGGCTGACAATAAGTGAGAAGCTGTCCTACTGTACCTGTCTGTCCACCAGGATGCCCCTGCCTAGGAGCCAACCAACCATAAATAGCTTCCCTGAATCCATGGGACAAATAAACCTCACCTCTTGGCAGCTGTGGGTGTTGGATAATTTCTCACAGCAACAGGAAAGCTGACTGATAAATAGAGGTGTCCTGAGCAATTTTAGTGTCTTTGTTTGCATCCCTAAAGAAGAAGGACCCGGAGGACAGGGCCATGAAAGAGGCCCACATGGGAGACCCATGAGGGGATGTGGGGCAAAGTGAAGAGGACTGGAGAGCAAAGGAGGAAGGAGCACAGAGCCACGCGCTGTATTGGGCCCTGAGCAAGGCTCCTGGTGCTGCTCTAAGTCCCCGAGATCCACGGAACCGCTCCCAACCTCCCGGTTCCTGCTTCTGGCTCTCAAGGCCCTTTGGAAATGCAGCCACCCTAGGACAGTGGGCTCAAGGGACTAGGGGGGATGTGCTCACAGATAGAGACCCCGAAGTTGCGCAGTGCCCCCTTCCACTGCCCAAAGGGCCCACATGGATCAGATGACCATAGCCCAGCTCTCCTCCCCCAGGAAGAGAGATCAGATTTCTCCAGCAGGTGGAAGCTTGGTCCACAGTTGCAGAGCCTGTGTCCACCAGGAGAGCTCCAGGGGTGTTTTCCCTCTGCTTCCTCTGGTTGGAAAACCCACCTTATTCTGACACTTCCTCATTCAGAATCTATAAATGCAGGGTACACTGAGGTAGCCCCCATTTCCCTTTGATAGCTCCTTCCCCAGCAAGTCTTAAACTCAATGAAATACCGAACACAAACCAAATGTAATGTAGGAATCTGCACTAAGCCAGATGGGATACAGAGGCCTGATATCCCAGCACACCATGAGGCTGAGGCAGAAGGATCACAAGTTCAAGCACAGCTGGGGCAGCTTAGAGAAGCTCTGTCTCAAAGTACAAAACTTTTTAAAGAGTTAGGGAAGCAGCTGAGGGTGAAGGCTTGGGGTTCAATTTCCAGTACCAAAGGAAAAAGAGCCATGGAAATGTGGCCAAGCTGTCAGCAGGACCCACCCATCCTCCTTGTCTTCCAGTCAACCTGCTTGGGAAGCCGGATTGCCAGAACCTGTGGGAGAGGTGGCCAAGATTAGAGAGGGCCTAGAAGCTTGCTCTCCTTCCCTTCCTCACCAAAAACTCAGCATTGGGGTCCTCCATCAAGAGCGCCCCCTTCTGTGAGAGTCCAGGCCAAGGGAAGCCCTGCTCTGCTAACTGAGTGGAGGACCTCATGGCTTGCCCACCTCCTCTCTGCACGTTGTCAGCAAAGACATAGAGTCATACTTGACCCACTGGGGCCCAGTCTCACCATGGCTTCGAGGTCACACCTGCACCAGCCTGCCTGTGACACCCTCACTCTCTCTCCCTGCACTCCTGCTACCCCTGTTGCTCGGGAGCCAGTGTAGTTTCCCAGTCTCCTCAAGGACACAAGGCCCCTTGTCATGCCTTCACTTTAATACATTCTGGTGATAAATCAGGTCCTCTGGGAAATGTGAACCCCAGTGGCAGCACCTCCCTTTGCCAGCTGAGCTTTGTGGGTTCTGTATCAAGTCACATGAGGCAGCTGAGCCAGTTCTCCCTGTTCTGCTGGTAAACAGTGCCCAAACTGGTGCTGAGACCTGTCCATTTGCTGATCAGCCAAGTCCTAAATCTCACTCCCAAGCCATAACCCTCAGGGAGTAACCATGGTGAGGGTCTCGAGATGGACGATTGTCCCAAGTTGCCTGGGCTGTAGCCACTCCAAGGGTCTTCACCGAAGGACTGAGGCAAATGCAGTGTTGCCACTGAGGGGAGGAGTCGGTGTGAGCCTTGAACAATGATCACAGGATGGGTCCAGAGCTGGAGACTGCAAGAGACTTCAGAGGTCCAAGGTGACATGGTAATAAACGTCCTTGAGATCCTCTAGGAGGAACCATCTGAAGCAGCCACTGGAAATGCAAGACAGCAGATCTGCATTGTGCTAAGCCATAAAATTCATTGTCGCTTGTCAGAGAAGAGGGTGGAGGCTGAACCAGATCAACAGACTCCAGAAAACTGCCAGCCAGTGCAGTCCACACTGCAGTGTACCCGTGTCTGTGCTGATCGGTTCCCAGGCTTCTATTTCCAGTGACCCAGGCCTTGAGAGCAAGCCCACATAGGCATCAGGAAATGTAGCATATAACATGCTTACACAGGATGAAGACATGGCCATTGCTGCATTCTTCCTAGGCTGCTAGCTGCTTCCTCCAACTTGGGATAGAAATCCAATGTGAGGAGGGGCAGAGACACAGAACCATGCTCAGCTGAATGGTGAGAGGTGGGCATGCCACTCGGGAGGCAGGAGAGGTGGCCGCTCACTGATAGGAATCACCCCAGAGATGCGTGAGACACTGGAGAAAACCAAGTCAGTCAGCAAATACCCAACCTGGACGCCTGAAGTAGACAATCTCTTGTGAGCTCAGGGATCTGAGATCCACGCCATTAGACCTCTCATGACAGGGTGAGGCGATACACAGCCAGGTCCCCTCAGGGCCCTCTCCTGGTAACCCAGGGATGTCCCTCTATGTCTTGTGTTCTGGAGGACCACTGTGGCCACCAGAAGCCTACCCGGGGATCACACCTTACCCTGGGGCCAGGAACAGCACCAAGGACCTAAAACTGCAGCTCTTCAGTAAGCATGCACAATTCCCACAGGATCCCCTGGACAGGGACAACAAGCATGAGGCTGAGTCAGCTGTCCTTCACCAAACCAGGCCTGTCAGGGAGAAGACCCCACCCCTACAGTCCCACAAAGACTCAGCACTGCCCAGGTCCAGGCCCCATCTGTCAATGCACAGTAGCAGCGTGATCCCCTGAAGGCTGAGGTCAGCTCCTGGTATGACGCAGGGGGACTCACTGCCCCTTGGGCTCCTCTCAACCAGGACTCCCTGTTCAGCAGATCTGGGACTCCATGTTTCTCAGGCTTAATACCACATGCCCCAGGGTCTGAATGTGGTGCCCCCAGACCCACACACTGACTCTGCGCAGCAGGAGGTAGGGATTGCAGAGGTGGCGCAGTGCAGGGCAGGCTCCTGAGTGGGATGTGACACCCGTGAACAGGAAGCAGCCCTCACCACAGGCCACACTCACAGACACCTTGGTCTTGTCCTTCCAGTCTCAGGAATTAACTGCATGATGCAGATGCTGTTGCTCTAAGACCCTGGTACATGCTGTTTTGTTTACCAGGCTTGGGGCAAGAGCTGTGTTCATGCAAACCAGGACACTTTCAGGACAGAATGCACTGGTCATTCTGAGCACACAGATGTGACCCAGAGCTGTCCCTGGGCCCCCAGGGGCTAAAAGCACCCCCATATTCTGTTATGCGGGCAAGTGGACTGGTCTAAATTCTACAGAAGGCTCCCAGAGAGCCCTGACCCATGATGTCTCTGTTTGTTTCTGTCTTTGCTGGCTGTCTACAGATCATCTACGTGGCTAGAAATGCCAAGGACTGCCTGGTGTCCTACTACCATTTTTACAGGATGAATAAGGCATTGCCTGAACCTGGCACTTGGGAGGAGTACATTGAAGCCTACAAGGCCGGAAAAGGCAAGTGAAAGGAAGCGAGGCCTGTATTTCTCATCATCTCCTGACATCAGGAGAGAACACGGCACTTCATGACTGGGCCCACTGAGGCCCCACGGTCCTACAGATGATACACTGCTGTCATCTGGGACAATTAAGGGAGAAACAAGGGCGGATAGGGCTTCTGAGGGGAGCCCCAGGTGCCTGGAACAGGAGAGGACCACTCCACTTCAACCAGAGTCAAGACTATTAGCTCCCGAGAGAAACCAGAGGTGATAATGGTCCCAGTCCCTGCTCTCCTCCTGCCCCTGACACACCAATCCCAACCATATGCAGATTCAGGGCAACCCAGTGACAGTGTGCAAGTATGTGGCAGCCTTCTGCAGCTTGAGATACTGCTGAGAGCACATCTCCCTCCACCGCCACCTCAGCCATGGCCTTAGGCCTGGGCACTGCAAGTATCCACAGTGAGACTTTCCCAAATCACCCTGCCAGCAAACACTCACTAGCTGCCACAGATCTGTGCACAGAGCAATCTGGGAGGAAAACAAAGACTCTGCCCCAGCCGAGAGGCAGTATCTCAGGAGGGGGAGGTTCAGGACAGACCCAATCCCAGGAATCCAGAATCCTAAGATAAGCACCCTAAATACTGTATATAAAAAAAAAAAAAACACCTGGGTTCTCCTCCAGCAAGACTCCTGCTATGATCTCTGTCCCTATGATGCCCTCTCTATCTGAGCCAGCTCAGCTGTTTCTAGCTGCCCTGCAAGTTTCTAGCTGCCCTGATACCACCTGTCTCCCACAGTGCTCTGGGGTTCCTGGTATGACCACGTGAAGGGGTGGTGGGATCGGAAGAACCAGCACCGCATCCTCTACCTCTTCTATGAGGACATGAAGGAGGTGAGACTGTGCAGCACCCCCAGAAGCTCCCCATCCAGAGTGAAAGTTCTAGCCAAGCCCCGAGGGTACCTGGCTCTGAGCCGAACCCTCCCTCCCTCTTTCCGGCTCAGTGTTGCTCCCAGGAACTCTGTCCTTCCCCTGGCCTTCCACACTTCTCAGGCATCCTCCTTCCCCAGAGAAAGTCCAGCCCACATTGGCAGGCCAACCTGTGGGATACCAGGAGCCTTGTTTCTCTGCCTGAGAGATGGCATGGAGTCTCTCCTTGGAGGTTACCTCACAGAGCCCTGCCATCCTACTGCTGAAGCTGAGCTGGAGACACTCAGAGTCCATCCCCCTCATCCACACTCAGAGCATCCTCACTCACGGAGCTCAGGCTGAACAAACACAGGCAGCCAGAGCTGATCTCTCCCCCCTGCCCTGGGAGAATGGCATCCCCAAGATCTCATGGAGCAGATCTCTGGGCTGCTCCAGATTATAAAAGTACCTCCTGGGCCAAAACTGAGAGAACCTGAAATGGAATAGGAAGCTTCAGGCCTTGCCTTTCTGTGTCTGTTATTTCCGGTCATTCTCCTATTGGTTTTCAGTGAGGATCAGAGACAATTTTTTGCCACATCTGACCATGCAGATAGGAGTTTGTCCCTCTGACCAACACTGCCCCATCCAGAGGGATCTCCCAGAGACCCTTCTCCAGATCCCTGGCTTATCTGGGGCCAGGAAGCAAGGACTGGCTCAGCAGGGAGCCACAAGGCTCCTCTGGTGGCAGGAACAGCCCTGGTCTGCTGCTGCTGCAGCATTCGGGCACCACCATACCTCACACTGGTTCCTCTTGGGAAATGTTTGCTGACCATGCTTGAATTGTCCCTTAGCTCTTCCCTCCCCAAAATAAACATCCTCCCTGAAGGGAGACCCAGATTCTTGTTTCCTATAACTGTTCCTCCACACACAGGACCCAAAGAGGGAAATTCGGAAGATCCTGAAGTTTCTAGAGAAAGAGGTCACTGAAGAAGTCCTGGACAAGATCATCTACCACACTTCCTTCCAGGTGATGAAGAATAATCCAATGACCAACTATACCACTCTGCCCACCAGCGTCATGGACCACTCCATCTCCCCTTTCATGAGGAAAGGTAAGGCCTTGGTATCCTGAGTGCTGAGCACCACCTCTGGGTCCTGAGGCAACTCCTGCATTTCCTCTTGTTCTTGTTGGCATCACCACTGTGCAGTTTGCAGAGGCCCCTTCCTATTTCCTCCCATCCCCCCTGCTCCTCCTATTCATCTTCCATGGCTGCTGGTCCCCAGGGTGCACACCCAATCCTCCTGGTGCTCTGCAGCACCACTGAGTCCTGTCTCACTCCAGGGATGCCCGGGGACTGGAAGAACCACTTCACTGTGGCCCAGAGTGAAGCCTTTGATAAGGACTACAGGGAGAAGATGGCAGGGAGCACCCTGACCTTCCGCACGGAGATCTGAGGGTTCAAGGTCAGGGCGGCTCAGCCCTGGGCCTCTAGACTTCACTCACTTAAGCCTGCATTCTGAAAGATTCTGGACAGACCCCTTCCTCCATCCGAAGACATCTTCCCCTAGGTGCTGAGCCACTATGCTTGGCTCCTCTCCGCATGTCCAGCCCAAATGAGACATTTCCAGCCATGTTAGAGGTCAACCCTGTGGACCCTGTGCCTGCCCAACTCAGGCAAAATAAACAAAGATCAGCTCCACTGCTCCTTCACAATTCTCTGGTCTCTCCAAGGTGAACCTCAGGGAGAGGAAAGGAGTAATTTCTACCCAGGAGCCTGGATACAGGGACAGTACTGTAAGGGAGATGCTGAGCAGTGGGACTTCATCCTGGACACGCTCAGCTGACCTCAGCAGCACAGAGCCCCTGAACAGGCATGAAGCATAGGTCCCGAGGCCAGGAGGTCCGAGGTCCATGGCCCTCACCAGGTCAGGTCATTCTTTGATCCACACAGGAAGGGGCAGGGCCCACACTCACCCCTGTTGAACGTTCCTGTCTTAGTTACTTTATGATCTTCGCTGAGACAAAAATACCTGAAGCCCAAAGTTGGGAAAGGAAAGGTTTATTTCTCAGTTTTTGGAGGTTTCAGTCCACACTCTGTTGGCTCCAAGACAGGCAGGCATGGCTGGGCTGCAGTTCATGGCGGGAGCCAACAGCAAGCTCGAACCAGCAAAGGGAAACACACACCTTCTTCCTGCCAACACATCACATCCTGGCTCCACCCCTATGTGGTTGGAGCACTGACACCATCAATCCAAGCACTATACAATGAACCATCACAAATGAACAATGCAAACTCATGAGGCCTGAGGGACACAAACATAAACCATGACAGTTCCTCAGTCTCAGCACTAACTAGGGGCCATCTGTACTGTTCTGGACATTGGATCCAGGGACCCCCAGAATATCTGAAAGGTGGTCCACAGACAAAGCTGAGTGGGAAAGCATGCAACAGAGGGCCAGCACAGCACACTGAGACAGGCTGACCCTTCTGAACAGGACGGGGCAGAGAGAGGTTCAGGAAGCACAGCCACAGGACAAGTGGCAGCAGCCAGTAATAAAAGTTCAATGGTGAGAGGAGAGGCCGGGGAACCAACAGACAGACATCCAAGGACAAGTACTCAGGGACAAATGCCCTGGGACTGACACTGCAGCGTGCCTTGGCTTGGCCTATCTCCTGTTTCCATGGAATTCAGACAGTGTCAGTCTGGTGACTAACAGGCTTCTTCTCAGTCACCTGTGAGCCGACCCTGATGGCAAAGGGCAGCTCTGGCATTCACAGAGTCTTCATCTTGGATCGGCGCTGAGTGCTTAAGCCACCAGGCTGATCTGTGCACAGGAGAGCTCCCTGTCAGGCAGTGTCACCTGAGCTCCCTGTGGGGCTGAACCCCAGGGATGGGGATGTACTCTGGAGGTCCAGGCTATGCCTATAGGGAGCCCCTCTCTGGGAATCCCAAGGCCAAGTAACTTCTGTCCTTTGTAGTTCCCCTCTCATTCTGCTATTAGCCTCGGAGTCCCACTCATACTCCCTAATGACTCTGTTATCAGGGCCGGCTGTCCAGAACAGGGCACTGACTGTCACCCTCCTTCAAGGGTTACCTCCTACCTGCTGCTGTAGGGTGACCTTGGAGTCACATCCAACTGCAGCTTTGTAAAGACAGACAGGATGCCCCACAAGTGCAACCAGCGAGTTGAGATGGCCCAGGGCCAGAGAGGGCACTTCAGGCTGCAGAGCCACAGATAGAGACCAGGCTGTGACAGATGCAGGCCGGAAGCTGAGGACAAGCTCACACTTCACACAGGGTTCTTAGAGGAAAGGAATTTCCCATGAGCCCAAGGAAAAATAACTAGCGTATTCAGGACTTTAAGAAAATCTCTAATCTCTCATCCCTGCAGAAGGATCTTTTTACACCTTGTTTCACAACAGGACTCACAGCAAACTTGTCAGCATGTCAAACTGGTCAGTTGCATGTGTCATCGGTCCTTTCCTTGTCCTCTGAGGGAAAGCCATGTTAAGAAACTTTCCTCTGTCATTTACACAAATTGTAGAAAGAACAGAGCTTTGCTTTAAAGAAATGTCAAGAAAGGTGCACTGTGGGGAGTGTGACTTGTGCAGCACTAAGGCACACAAATGATTACCTCCCCATCCTGAACATAGTCTGTGGCCTGTTCTATACATCCTAAGACATGGGTCACGGAGCACACGGCAATCAGCCATGCCATGGAGTGGCTATGTGGTGCCAGCTGGACCAGCAGATTAAGTGGTAAGATCTTCTCAGCCCCCCACTCCAAGAGTCCAGCTCATGGCAGGGCCACCCGGGAAGCTGCAGTGTTCCTTGGGGGCCCACACCTGCTCCCTCCTGAACCTGTACCCTGCTAATTAACCCTGGCCTCTCCCATCCTGCCCAGAAACAAAGCAAGGAGGCTCTGCAGGATTTGACAAGAGCCTTCGACCTCTGGGAAAGCTTCTCCTCCCAGGTCTCTCTGCCTGAGGGACCTGGGCCACACACTTTCTTGGGGTCACAGACCAGGAACATGTAGGTCTAGGAGCACATACCCATGAAAGGTATCCACACCAAGCCCCGGCACCCTGCAAAGCAGATACCTGGGTCTCCTGAAATCTCCACCTGCCAAGGGTGACCTTCATTAACTTGACATCTGCGTCCCACTGGGGAGAAAGTGAGGAGACCCAACCTGAGCATGGAGCAGTGTCAGGCCAGGGAACACAGGACCAGTGTTTCTCCTCACTGTCTGAAGAGGGTGCCAGATGGCTGGGCTCCTAGAATGCTCGGGGGGGGGGGGGGGGGGCTCATGCAAGGGCCTGTGTGGAGGGACACTCTGCAGAGACCTGCTGTGCACGCAGAGGTTCCTGAGGAAGTCCTGGAAGTGCAGACCCCTAAGAACCTCCTGCCTTCTCACCCCGCCTGCTGAAGTGCCCAGCTAGCCATGCACTGGGACGGGCCTGCCTCTTCTGTAGCTGCTTGGGTCCCCAAAGCCTGGAGTTCTTGGGGCTGGAATCCCCCCAGGATGGAATTTGCAGGACAGGGAGGTGGTGCAGACAAACAAGGTGGGCGTGGCCACTTAGGCCACCTGGGCTCAGTCTCCAGGTGCTTTGCAGAGCAGGGCTACAATCAGCCTAAGTGTGAAGAGGAGCCATGAGTGGCTGTGGACAGTGCTCCTTTCCTGGCCATCCCAGTGAGCCCCTGGAGTGCTATGGCTGTGGTCTTGGTCCTATGCTTGAGCACAGCTGGAGACTCTGAGGCTTGCCCAGGAGCAGAGAGAGAACTCTGAGTCTGTGGCAACCTCACCCTATAAGGCCTAGGAGGATGCCTACCCCTGGAGTCATCAGCAGGAAGGCCAGGACCTCATTGAGCCAGGAGTACATTGGGTCAAGCAGGCCAACACGAGCATAGTGGTACTCCCCAGTATATCACACGCCTCAGTGTGGCTCTCTGCAGTCCAGCACAGTCACAGGTAAGGACGCAGGAGGACTTCACAAGCATAGCCAGGAGGGCATCACCAGGCACAGCTGGGGAGGACAGGGCCCAGCAGCCATGCACACGGCCCAGCCTGGCATGGGTGGGTCTTGGCAGCTAGGAGCTTCATGACAGCAGGCACAAGTGTCCTATACCTGCCAGGATGTCCCCAAGAGCTGTCCAGAGCACTGGCCCTTCGGGACATGTGCTCTAAAAGCCTCTGAATGGAGGGCAGGGCTGTGACTGTGCTACCCAGGTCCAGAGAGAAGGCTTCCGGAGTGAAAGGGGCATAGAGTGAGGATAGTGACATCAGATAGAAATGTGCAGCACAGCTCCTGCTCAAAGTCTCAGCAAGGACAAAGCTACCCCAGTCTCCCATGAGGAGCCAGCACTCAGCAATATCTAGGCCTACTCAGGTAACAATGGTAATAGGACAGACCCCTAGGAGAGCAGAGGTAGCATGGGGGCCAATCTGCCTGCTCTGCCCTTGCCATGTGTGCCTGGGGGGACATCCCCTCCTACTCCAGAACACATTCCATGCAAGTAGGAAACAACGGAACCCAAGACAAAGCTCCACATTCTCTTCTGGGGCAGAGGAGTCTGCCTCCAGTAAAGTATATTTGTACTTTACCTGTCCAAAGTCAGTTCCCTTGGCCTCAGCCTAAGAACTTTAACTGTTTTTATTTTATTATTTTATTAACTGTTTTTATTTTATTAGCACAGCTTTACAGGACATGCAGCCCAGGAGTGTCCTGGGTGTGGATGATTGCACACAGCAAGGCTCCTTTCTTCTGTTAATTCTCCTTCCCCCTCCCCCTGCTCCTTCTCTCCCTCCTCCTCCTTCCCCTTTTCCTCTTCTTGATCCTCTCCATCTCCCCTACCTTCCCCCTCCTCACTATTCCTCAGATCTGGGGCCTCTCCACTTCTCCATGCTTGTACCCTGGCTGCTCTCCTCAACCAGAGGCAGAGGCCAAGGTTGCTTCGTGCTAACAGCTCAGAAGTCAAACCCACCTCTCCCAGCACCAGACATGGTGGAGAGGATACAGCTCCTTTTTCAGGGTTGGGGCCAGGGGGGATAGAAGGTGGAGTCCCCAGGCCCTGTGAATTGCCTGTGCCTCCTGAACCTGCACCCCAACTTCTGAGACAAATGTCTGAAACGCAGGATTGTCCAGCACTGCAGAAGGAATGTGGCTGTCTCGAAAGGCCTGGCACTTGGTCATGTCATTCTCCTGGTGACTGAGTCCCACCTGTGTCATGACGCTGAGGCCAGAGACCCAGCCTGACTCTGCACCCAGGTGTGGCCAGCACTATCAAAGGTAAACTCAGTGAATGGACCTCAGATCCGCAATACCAGAAAACAAGTTCTTGAAGCAGAAACCTACATGCTTTTATTTTGCCCAATGGACCTGGCCAAGCACTGCAGGGTCCTGGAGGAGGCCAGTAGCAGCCCTCAGGAACCCTAGAGCCTTCCCACCTCCTCTCTGTGGGCTCTGTCAATCACCAGAGTAGTGAGGTCCACTTGTCACTTTTCCAGATCCTTGGAAGGAAGTCGAGTTGCACAGACCATGAACTTCCAAATCTGGAAGGAATCTCTAGCCCCTTAAAGGACAGAATAAATTTTGGTTGAAAACCTTGTTTAAGGGCACAGGGCCGATATACAGCTGATTGCCACACAGGTCTGTATACCTGAGGCCTTGGGCTCCCCCTCAAACACCACAGGAAAGGA